ACAATTTCCGGCACCGCGCACCCCCCCCCGCTCCGCCCCCTCCCCCGCGCCGTCTCCGCGCCCCCGCGGCTCCAGCGCCCGCCCAGTGCCCCCTCCGCCTCGACCACTTTATTTCGGCACCGAACCCCCCCCCGCTCCGCCCCCTCCCCCGCGCCGTCTCAGCGCCCCCCCGCGGCTCCAGCGCCCGCCCAGCGCCCCCTCCGCCCCGACCATTTATTTCGGCACCGCACCCCCCCTCCCCCCTCCGCCTCCTCCCCCGCGCCGTCTCAGCGCCCCCCCGCGGTTCCAGCGCCCGCCCAGTGCCCCCTCCGCCCCGACCACTTTATTCTCTTGCACAGCTGTGCTCTAGAGCTCGGACATTTTATTTTCGTGTCGTGTCGTGTCGTTCGTTCGTCCCCCTGCCCCCCCCCTGCCCCCCCCGTCCAGGCTTCCCGGGGCAGCCCCCCTGGGCCTCGGACACATTTATTTTCGTGTCGTGTCGTGTCGTTCGTCCCCTGCCCCCCCCCCTGCTCTTCCCCCGCCTAGGCTTCCCAGGGCAGCCCCCCTGAGCCTCGGACACCTTTATTTTCGTGTCGTGTCGTGTCGTTCGTCCCCCTGCCCCCCCCCTGCCCCCCCCCAGACCCAGCTCCCCCGTCCAGGCTTCCCATGGCAGCCCCCCTGGGCCTCGGACATCTTTATTTTCGTGTCGTGTGACCACCTCTGCCGAGGTGGTCAGGCCACTTTCGTCTGAGACGATTGCCGAACTCTGCCTCGGAGGTGCCTTGCCCAATGATGGTCCGGCCACTTCCGCCTGAAACCCTCGCCATTCTAAGTTGCGGGATGCCCTGAGCAGGTGGTCTGGCCACTGCCGCCTGAGACATCCTCACAATTCTGACCTCTTGGGGGCTCTTGGGGAGCCACTGGGGCACTCTTGGCCAGGGCCCAGAAACAAAACCAGGCCAGGGCCCAGAAATCGTCGTCGTCCTCCTCCTCCTCCTCCTCCTCCTCCGCTTTCTTCCTGGCTCCTCGTAAACCCCTCCTGGAAGAAGGAGGCGGGGGCCTCCTGTCCTTCGCAACTCCTTTGAGCAAGAGCCAGGGCACGCGTGCCACTTGTACCGTTCTTCGCTCGCTGAGAGAGGTGCGGCTGCTGCGCTGGCAGCCCCACCACGCCCCAGACTTTGAGCTTGCGCGCTCGAGCTGCCCGCGCGGCAGGCGCACAGATCGAAGTTGGCCGCGTCTTGTCGATGCCCACGCTGCCCAGTCCGAAGTCCCATACGAGGAACGCCACGCTGCGGTCGCCTTGTGGCTCACGCCGAAAACTTGTGGGGGGTCGGGGTTAACAGCGGCGCTTCTGCTTTCCACGCGGGGGCGCCGGAGTTTCGCATCGCGCTGCTCCCGCGTGGGAACTGGCGCATCAGGGTTCAGGGGGAAGGCTTCCTAGACGGAGGCTGCTTCCTAGAAGGCGCTAGCCCTCCATCTATCGAGAAGGCCCGCGCCTTCTGAGAAGCAGGGGTGCTTCTTTCTTTTTTTGAAAGACGCTCGTCCAGACAAATGTGCTCATCCTGTCTACCCGCGCGCGCAGCGAAAGCATGAGGCTGGAGCCTGACTCTGGGCTGCAGACGCCCCGGCGCGGGCGTCTGAGGGCGCAGCTGCTCTGCGCGCTCAAGCTCCAGGTGTTCACCTCTGCGATCGGCACGCTGAAGCTAAGCCTTCAAACAAGAAATCGCCAGCTTCCCAACTGATGGGTGCTTCTTAGAAGCCTTTCCCTCTCAGGTCATCGCTGCCGGCGCTGCCTCGCATCCAATGGTACGGGGTGGGGGGCAGCGGGGGTGGGCAGGGACCGCCAACCCGCTCGCTCCGTACATCTTGACACCAACTTCTGCGCCCACAGCTGCTCTTTCTCGACGGATTGCAAAAAAAACTAAGGATTGCACAAAAAAACAGGATTGCAAAAAGAAGGATTGCAAAAAAACCCAGGATTGCAAAACAAAACAAAAAATGCAAACCCACGGTTTTTGCAATATGTCTCGTCTCCTGCTTCCAACACACATTCCAAGCGTTGCTTCGCTGCTGTGTGTTATGGGGAATGTACCCACCGAAGCACTAGTTACCCCCGCCAGCCCTCCCAGCCAACTCTCCAGCCAACACCGGCCAACCCTCCCAGCCAACCCCTCCAGCCAACCCTGATTAGGGTGGCTCGCTCCATGAGATCTGATACTCTGAACAGGAATCACGAACAACTGCACTCCGTACCAACGTGCCCTGATAGCGGCCAAGGGAGGAGGAGGAGGAGGAGGAGGAGGAGGAGGAGGAGGAGGAGGAGGCGGAGGCGGAGGCGGAGGCGGAGCAGGAGGAGGAGGAGAGGAGGAGGAGGAGGGAGGAGGAGGAGGAGGGGAGGAGGAGGAGGAGGAGGAGGGGGGGGGGTCACCCTGATGACGGGGGCTCTCAAGGAGGGCGGACGGCGCGGCCTCGGGTTGCAAGCCGCGTGCCCCCGCCGACCGGCCTCGCGCGAGGCCGCGCTCGCAAGAAGGGGGGGGAGGCAGCCCCACCGACAAACACACACACACACACACACACATCGCAACGTTTGCGCTGGAACCGTACACTCAATCACCTGGAAGCCATGGCTCACGGTCCTCCGCGCTGAGACTCTGGCTCTCGTCGACGTCCAGCTCGGCAAACCGAGCCTGGCACTTCTTCTTGAACTCCTGACTGAGCAGAACCTCGAGACCGAAGGGAGGTGGCAGCAGAGGACGAGACGAGGCTGAAGAAGCACCAGCAGCAGCAGGGGAACATGAACATGAGGAGTAGAAAATGAGCGGAAGCAGAAGGAGGATAATGATGGGGAGGAAGACGAAGATCAGGAATACATGGCCGAGGACCAGCACTATGACAAGGACGAAACTGGGCCGAAAGATGACGAAGAACAGGCGGACGCGCAGCAGAAGGAGGAAGACGAGGTCGAGAGCTCCATTCCCACGGCGTCGCGGGCTGTGCAAGACGTCAAGGGACGAGGGAAAGGAAGACTCGCACGTGTTGCCAAAGCCGTCCCTCCAGAAAGCCGAGCAGACTTGCCCAGCCTCCACGCCCAAATTCCGGCTCACCGTCCTCGGCTTCCTCCTCATGATGAGCATCCTCTTGCTCCTCCCCTCTCCTCTTGCCCCCGATCCTCCTCGTGATCCTCCCCCCTGCACATCCTTTCCATTCTCCTCCTCGTCAGGAGCTGGGAGCCGTGGCGCAGGGAGTGGGAGGAGGAGGAGGGGCAAGGGCGGGAAGGAGGGAGAGGAGTACCGATGGGGGGAGGAGAACGAAGGGAGGAGCGAGGAGGCGGCCGAGGAGAACGGGGATGAGGAGAAGCACGGGGAGAAGGGAGGGAGGAGGGGGGAGGGAAGAAGGGAGGGAGAGAGAAGGCAGGAGAGAAGGAGAAGGGAGGATGCTGGAAGGAGGAGCGAAGAAAAACGGAGCGACCACTGCCCCTGCCCCTGCCCCGCGCGTTGGAGCCTCACGGACGCCGCTCGGAAGCTCCTTCGGGGTCACGCTTTGCATGTGGCAACGGGTGGGGTGGCAGCATGCTTCCCGATCAATAGGCAAGAAGATCGGCACCATCACCACCATCGCGAGGAGCCAGATGGGAACGACCTCTTGGTGTGGCCCCCCTTTTTGCGACGTCCCGCTCGAGGCACCTCCGACATCCAGCTCTGGGAGGCACTGTGAACCTCCCCGCTGGAGGTGGCCCGCTGGTGGCGGTGCCGCCGCCTCTGATCCCTTCGAGATGGGGGCAACGTGCGCCACGTGGGTGGACGCCGACTCTGCACACACGCCGATCCTGACCGGGCCCCTTCCTGCGCTCAGGACATCTCTGGGGACCTTCGGCTGCACGAGTGACCGTTGGTACACGGCCTGCGGGCCGCTGCGCGCGGCGCGAGACTGGCAGCTTGCGTGCATGAACCTGGGCCCCCCGCTGCGATGCCCGAACGCCGCGCACCAAGTGGTCACTCTGGCGAAAGGTCACTCTTGCGTGCAGCCGAAAGCTGCGCCGGTCCTGGACTCAGGAGCGGCCTGGCAGGGATCGGTGCAAGTGCATACGCCCAGGGAAGCGACACAATGTTGGGCCACGCACACCGCACACCTACGCAACATAGAACGGGGGGCAAAAATGGAGGAGAAGAAGGAAGAGCAGGACGAGGAAGGGTGGGAGGAGAGCGAGGAGGAGGGCGAGGAGAAGGGCGAGGAGGAGGGCGAGGAAGAGGGCGAGGGAACAGGGAGAAACGTCGGGGAGAGTAACAGTGCCATGCGCTACATCTGCTCAGTTCGCCCGCGCTGCCACTGCAGGTGACGGGCACCTGAGGGAGGAGGGGAGAGAGTGGGCCACTGAGGAAGGCGCCATATGCACTACGTGACGCTCCAGCGCGCAGCACTCTGTGATGCAACAGCGCCGCGCGCTGGCTGCGCTCAGCCACCCAGGGGAGCAGCGAGGTCCCGTCAGGGACCGCGTGCCCCCCGACTCCGCGGGCCCTCCTGGGAGCCCACGGAAGTGGTAACAGGTGCGCAGTTCGCAGCCACCAAGGGAGCAGCGAGGTCCCGTCTGAGTCCGAGTGGCCCCCGACTCCGCTGAACGTCCCAGGAGCCCACGAAAGTGGTGACCGTTGCACAATTCGAAGCCACCCAGGGAGCAGCGAAGTCCCCAATGAGTCCGCGTTGTCCCCGACTCCGCTGGACCTCCCAGGAGACCACGAAAGCAGTGACAGATGCCCTGTTCGCAGCACCCCGGGGAGCAGCGAGGTCCCCAATGGACCCGCGTGGCCCCCGACTCCGCTGGACCTCCTGGGAGCCAACGAAAGCAGTGACAGATGCGCAGTTCGCAGCCACCCAGGGAGCAGCGAGGTCCCCAATGGATATACGTGGCCCCCGACCCCGCTGGACCTCCTGGGAGCAAACGAAAGTGGTCACCGTTGCACAGTTCGCAGCCACCCAGGGAGCAGCGAGGTCCACAATGGGTCCGCGTGGCGGCGAGGCCCCGTCTGGGTCTGCGTGGCCCGCGACTCCGCTGAAACCTACCAGGAGCCCACGAAAGCGGTGACGAATGCGCAGATCGCAGCCGCCCAGGGGGTAGCGAGGCCCCCTCTGGGTCCGCGAAGCCCCCGACTCCGCGCAATTCGCAGCCACCCAGGGAGCAACGAGGTCCCCTCTGGGTCTGCGTGCCCCCCGACCCCGCTGGACCTACCAGGAGCCCACGAAAGTGATGACAGATGCACAGTTCGCAGCCACCCTGGGAGCAGCGAGGTTCTGTCTGGGTCTGCGTGGCCCCCGACTCCGCTGGACCTCCTGGGAGCCCACGACAGTGGTGACAGATGCACAGTTCGCAGCCACCCTGGGAGCAGCGAGGTTCTGTCTGGGTCTGCGTGGCCCCCGACTCCGCTGGACCTCCTGGGAGCCCACGACAGTGGCGACAGTTGCGCAGTTCGCAGCCACCCCGGGGAGCAGCGAGGTTCCCTCTGGATCAGCGAAACCCCGGACGACGCGCAGTTCGCAGCCACCCGGGGAGCAGCGCGGTATCGTCTGGGTCCACGTGCCCCCCCCCCCGACTCCGCTGGACCTCCCAGGAGCCCACGAAATCAGCGACAGATGCGCAGTTCGCAGCCACCCGGGGGGAGCAACGAGGTCCACAATGGATCCGCGTGGCCCCCGACTCCGCTGGACCCCCCAGGAGCCCACGAAATCAGCGACAGATGCGCAGTTCGCAGCCACCCAGGGAGCAACGAGGTCCACAATGGACCCGCGTGGCCCCCGACTCCGCTGGACCCCCCAGGAGCCCACGAAAGTGGTGACGAATGCGCAGTTCGCAGCCACCCGGGGGGAGCAACGAGGTCCACAATGGACCCGCGTGGCCCCCGACTCCGCTGGACCTCCCAGGAGCCCACGAAATCAGCGACAGATGCGCAGTTCGCAGCCACCCAGGGAGCAGCGAGGTCCCCAATAGATCCGCGTGGCCCCCGACTCCGCTGGACCCCCCAGGAGCCCACGAAATCAGCGACAGATGCGCAGTTCGCAGCCACCCAGGGAGCAGCGAGGTCGTGATCCGCCTGGCCCCCACCTCCGCTGAACGTCCCAGGAGCCCACAAAAGTGGTGACGAGTGCGCAGTTCGCAGTCACCAAGGGAGCAGCGAGGTCCCAGGTGGGTCCGCGAAGCCCCCGACTCCGCAAGGCCCTCCGGGAGCGCACGAAAGTGGTGACTGATGCGCAGTTCGCAGCCACCCAGGGAGCAGCGAGGTCCCTAATGGACCCGCGTGGCCCCCGACTCCGCTGGACCTCCCAGCAGCCCACGAAAGCGGTGACGAATGTGCGGTTCGCAGCCACCCAGGGAGCAGCGAAGTTTCAACAGATCCGCGAGGCCTCCGACTCCGCTGGACCTAGGAGGGACCCGCGAAGTTGGTTACGGATGCGCAGTTCGCAGCCACCCAGGGAGCAGCGAGGTCCCAAATGGATCCGCGTGGCCCCCGACTCCGCTGGACCTACCAGGAGCCCACGAAATCAGCGACAGATGCGCAGTTCGCAGCCACCCAGGGAGCAGCGAGGTCCCCAATGGACCCGCGTGGCCCCCGACTCCGCTGGACCTCCCAGGAGCCCACGAAAGTGGTGACAGGGGCGCAGTTCGCAGCCATCCAGGGAGCTACGAGCAAGGGAAGCAAGGAGGCATGAGGCAGGAGGAGGCAGCAGAAAGCAGGAGAGAGGAGGAGGAGGAGGAGGAGGAGGAGGAGGAGGAGGAGGAGGAGGAATCGTGACCGCAGCGCTCTGGGAGAATCAACACATGCCCCCTCCGAGGCCAAGGTCAGTGGTACCCCTCGGGATACTGTCGCTTCTTGCTTATTATGGACGATCGTTCATCCTAACTATTACTCGTACTCTACGGTGCACATGCGTTGATCTGCGAAGCTCGTCTTATACAGAAAGGTTACGGGACACATGCGCGCGCCGCCGTGCGCGCAGGACCAAATTCGTCGAAACGCAATGTTGTTCAACAACACCAAGGCTTGGACTTTCAAAAAACTATCAGAAACTAGTGGGCGATCAGCTAAAGCGGAAGTATGCGCGCGCGCAAGCGCGCGCAGTCGCAGAAATCATGGGTTCTTGGCATGGGTGCTTCTTGGCATGCGTGTTTCTTGGCATGGGTTTCCACTGCAAGAAGCCCTGAGCACAGAGCAAGGTTGGGGGAGAACACCTTCGGACGCCCGCGCGGACTCCTCGGGTCGGCGTTGCGCCCCCTCCCTGCACCCCGTCCACCGGCGCGGGAAGCGGGGGCGCGGGAAGCGGGGGGGGCAGCCCCGACCCGAGAGACCCACGGAGTCCTCCGAGACCGACCCGGCCAGCCGAAAGCGGCTCCAGCGGCTAGACCGAGCTGGCTGGGACCAAACTGGCGCCCCCCACCAGCGGCGCCGACAGCTACAGCAACACCAGCTGCAGCACCAGCAGCATCAGCAACGCCGGCATCAGCAGCAGCAGCACCAGCAGCAGCGCAGCACCAGCAGCACCAGCAGCCGCAAGAACAGCGTCGCGAGCACCTGGCTGGCGGCGCACGTGCAGGAGGCGGATCCTGCAAACGCCGCCGTTGCCGTCATCGCCAAGCCGAGTCCACCCTGCCAGGGTGGTGAAATCTTTCCCCCCCCCCCTGGGGGCTTGACACTACCCCCTGGGGGGTGAGTCTATAGGCATCGTTTAACCGATCCCTATCCTCGCTGGCGTGGCCCTGGTCCCACTGGCCGACTCAACCACCTAGGTGGGGATTCACGCTTGTCTCTTCGGGTTTCGCGCGGCCCAGCCCCACCTGAGAGGGTGGGCTGGTGGGGCTGAGATACCATGGGGATAGATTAAACGATGCTGAGTCCACACCCCTGTGGCGACCCCCAAACCCGGAGGGGGGTGGCACCACCCCCCAGCGGGTCATGATACCACCTCCCCACTGAGCTGAAACCACTGCCCCACGGGGGGAAGCCCTCCTCCCCCCCGACGGGGGAGAAATCACCGCCGCTGTCGTCGTCATCGCTGACGCTAGGCCAAGGGCCGCCGAACTCAACCGCTCAGATCGAACCGTCCTGCGGCCACCGACCCGAACTGGCCCAACCGACCTGGACTCGCCAAACTGGACCAACGCAGGCGCCGCTGAACCAACCCGAACCGAACCGAACGGGACCCTTGCTGCTAGGGGGAAGTGATAGAAAGAGGGGAAAGGCGAGGGGAGAGAGAGAGAGAGAGAGAACAAAAAAAAAAAAAAAAAAAACGAATAGGACAAGAGGGTGCGGGAACAGGAGAATGGGGAGGGAGGGGGGGGGGGTCCACAAGGCCGTCCTCGATCACTGCCTGCAGGCTGCCAGGGTCGGCCTGGAGCTTGGCAGCCAGCCGGGCCAGCTCATCGCCTCCGGGAGAAGGGAGAAGAGGTGGACAACGCGGAGGCGCTGGAAGACGGAGGTGGGGGAGGGTGGAGCATCGATACTGGCAAGCAAGGGCGGAGGGCGAAGGAGGCAGAGGAGCACAAAGGAAGAAGAAGAGGGGCTTGAGAACCAAAGAAGGGAGGAGAAACGGGGAGCAAGAGATCCCCGAATCGAATCGATAAGCCAGCTTAGCGATCGACATGGATAGGATCGGCAAAAATCGGCATCCGCGTCGGGAGAAGCCGAATCGGCGGAAATCGGCAAGCTCGTGGGCCTCCGCTGAGACATCGGAATCTGGATCCGCATCCGAAGCCAAATCGAGTCGGAGTCGGGAGCCATCGCAATCGAATCGAATCGGATCGGAGGAATCTAAACATGAGCCCTGGAGAAGCAGGAGGAGGAGGAGGAGGAGGAGGAGGAGGAGGAGGAGGAGGAGGAGGGGGGGCCCCCGTCCCCCCGCCGGGGCCCTGGTGAGTACGGAGAATGGTGAGGCCTGCGGCGCCAAGCACGGCGCGCCAGCCTCCCCCGCTGCTCGGCAGAGGGGCCTCGGTAGCCGCGACGAGGCGGAACGGCGCAGAACGAGAGAGCACGTGGCCAGCATGAGACGGAGCGCTCCCAAGCGGCCCCCCAGGAGGCTCACAAGGGAGAAACATGAGAATCAGAATAAAAACTATGATTGTTAATCATAATAATAATAATAACGATGATAATAATAATAATAGTAATAATAATAATAATAATAATAATAATAATAATAATAATAATAATAGTAATAGTAATAATAATAACAATAACAATAACAACAACAACAACAACAACAACAACAACAACAACAACAACAACAACAGCAGCAGCAGCAGCAACAACAACAACATCAACAGCAACAACGACAATACCAGTAATAATAATAGTAATAATAATAAGTGTAATGGTGATAATACGAATAATAATGATGATAATAATAATAATGGTAATGAAAATGATAGTAATAATAAATAAATAAATAAATAAATAAATAAATATAAATATAGAGAAAAGAAGAATAATCAAAGTAATTGTATAAATAGTAATGTTACTAATACTGATAATAATAACAATAATAAGAAGAAGAATAAGAAGAAACAAAACAAAAGAAGCAGTGCACGTCAGGGGTGCGCTGGCCATGTGGCGAGAAGGTGAGACAGTCGTAGGAATTGCGCTGCCAGCCGCAGCGATGTGAAACAGCGACGACGACCACGACGACGGCAGCGACGAGGCCACAGAATTCCTCCCCAGAGGCCCCCGAGAGCCTTCCGAAGAGGCCCCAAGAAGCATCCCTGAGGACTCTGGCCCACGTCAGCGTCGTCGTCGTCGTCGTCGTCGCAGCCGCCACCGTTGTCGTCGTCGTCGTCTCCCTTCAGGGTCGGCAGCACGGGCCGTAAGGCCTTCGCAATAAGATGAAGCCAGGACGAGGATAAAATCGGGTGGGGATAAAACGAAAATCTCTGAGATCCCGCGGCTCTGGAGGATGTCTCGGACGCCGCGGCCTTCTCAGAGCGTTCCAGAACGCTCTGAGGGCGTTATGGAAAGCACTGGAACGGATCTATCCTCGTCTAGCCCCGTCCGGAACGGTGCCTTCAGCACTTTTTGTTTCTCGCCACTGCAAATGCCGAGCGCTTCGCGCATGGCCGAAAAACTGGTTCTGCCAGGTCTACCGGATCTGCGCCGAGGCCGCCCTGCCAGATATGTAAAGAATCAAGGCGTCGAGGACTGGCGCGGACAGCTGCTAGAATAGAAAGGTTCTGATATAGAGCCACACTCATGAGAGCAAGACTAACCTCCGTAGCTCGAAGCCGTTTTCTGGAGGGAGAAAATAGGGGCAGACAGCATGACTCTCCTGCGGGGCGGAAATCCAAGCAATTATGAAGGCTGAGCGGCCACCAGTGCACCACCGCGTTCATAAGGAAAAGAAGAAAAAGGAGGAAGAGGAGGAGGAGGGGGGATATCCTGATGTGCGAACGGCAAGATCATCCGACTACATTCAGCATCGCACAATCGCATTAGATGGTGGCAACAACATGTGGTTATGTTTCTGCCTGACCACTGCTGGCCTATGTTGCCTCCCACCCGGGCGGACCGAGCAGAACGGAGCTACCGGTGACGAGAATTGCCCGACGCCCAAAACCGTATGCACATCTCTGCTAGCAGTGGCGCCGTTAGGGCCCATCTAAAAGAATGACGCGCGATCAAAAAGAATGCTGACACGATCCACTGGCTGCTCCCACCCATGTGGGGGAACAGGGGGAGGAATGTTTCAGTGACGAGGGAGGAGAAACATGCGGTTTACCCTCCGAGGATGTTGCGCGGTCAGGATCATGTAGGCCAGATCGCCTCACACCACGCCCACCGCAGGCCCTGCGGTTGCCTCACGGTTGCCTCACTGCCAAGCACGGCTCCCCTAGTGCTGGGCCTGGACATCGGGAATGGCGAACCCTGACACTTTGTTCCAAGCAACGGCCACGGTGCGTTCGAATACGCGTGCACCAACCAAAACTGATGGCTGGACTCTGCAACCAACTCTGTTCCAGTGTAGGGTGGAAGCCTCGTAGAATCTGCTAGAATGTACCTCCGACAGGCCTTGGGCTCCGCCCCAGCCTGCCCCGTCTGCTGGCCGTGGTAAGAAGCGGGCATCCTCAGCCCCGCTGCCCGCTGCCAAACCAATGCGGCTCAAATGATGCTTGGGCCTTCCGCGTGCGGTCTGCGAGCACCGCCGGCCGAGATGCTCCCTGCTGGAGGCTGAAGGACCCCACTCAACTCTCAATCTCACACGTGTTCTATCCCCTCCCTCCTCTCTCTCTCTCTCTCTCTCTCTCTCTCTCTATATATATATGTATCGCTGTGTTTCTCCGTTCTCTGTCTCTCTACGTTTTCCTCTCTCTCTCTCTCTCTCTCCCTCTCCGGAGCGAAAAACGGCCCTGACAATCGCGGGCAAACGGGCCCGAAGCCTCACCTCGCAGGACGGTGCCAGGCTGTCGGTCCGGCCGGGCCGGGGGCCGCCTGCCCAGCGCAAGCCTGGGGGAAGGGGGGGGGCTCTGGCGGCTGGTCGCGGGCAGCGTCGGGCGCAGCGTCGGGCACCCGGGAGCCAATGCTGGGGCCCCCGAAGCTGATGGGCCTGCTTTTCCACCACCACCACCACCATAAGCTGGAGGGGGGGAAAGAGGAGGAGGAGGAGGAGGAGGAGGAGGAGGAGGAGGAGGAGGACCCCCTCCCCCTCCTACTTATGGTGGTGGTGGTGGGAAACAGGCCCATCATCAGACGTTGGCGAGGGTCCCCGTTCGGCAGTGTCAACCTCGCCTCGGGCGTCGAGAGCGGGTACGGATCCGCTACAGATCCTAGGCGGATCCGTTTGTGAGGGTGCCGCAGACGAGAGCCAAGCTCTTGAGGGCACGTCGGATTCGGGCGCTCACTGAGCACCTCCATGTTGTGCGGATGTCTCAGGCGAAACGCTCCCCCCACACATGTTGAATATTCGATGCCCGATCGCCAGCATCTCAATTGTCTGAGGATGTCGCAGGCGAAAGCGTCATGTTTGAGAGCTAACGTCGCAAAACAACTGCTCCAACATCTAAATTATATGAGGATGTTTGGGGCGAAACGCACACACACACACACACACACACACACACCATGTTGGATACCCGATGTCTGATCTCCAACACCTCAACTTGCTGAGGATGTCTCAGGCGAAACGCCTCCCCCACACCATGGTGGATATCCGACTGGGTCTTCTGAGGAAAGCTTCAGTTTGAAAATCAACGCCGCAAAACAATTCCTCCGATATGCACATGTTGCGAAGATATCTCAAGCGAAACGATCCACCCACACTATGTTGGATATCCGACGCCCGATATCCACCATCGCATGTTCTGAGGATCTCTCCGGCGAAACGATCCAGGCACACATACACACAGACACACACACACACACACACACGATGCATGTCCGACGCCCGATCTCCAACATCTCATGGGCCTGAAGATGTCTCAGGCGAGAGCTTCAGTTTTGAGGACCAACGTCGTAAAGCGACTCCTCCAACATCCCTATGGTGTGAGGATTTCTCAGGCGAAACGCCTCTGTCGACACCATGCTGGGTATCCGACGCCCACTCACAACATCTCAGTTGCCTACGGATGTCTGAAACGAAAACCACAGTTTGGTGAACAAGCGTCGTTCGCAATATCCCGATTTTGCGAGGCTGTCTCAGGCGAAGCTCCTCTTCAACCTCCTCGTCACCCCATCTGGTTCAGGGCCGAATGCCCGCTGGACGAAGAGAACCCCGGGCCTGAGCCCGGGCCCAGAAAAAACGGCATATACAGTCGAGGCGTTGACCTAAGGAACCCTAGATAAGGAACGAGGCCCCTATTTTCCATAAGCTGAACTTCGATGTCGTATCGAAAACATGAGGAGAACCTGAGGCAAGCTGCGAAACACTTAAGGAACGCGGAGCCCCTCCCCAACGAAAAGGGTTCCTTCTTCAGGGCCCCGACTGTACGAGCACAAGCTCTCGGAGCTCCGCGCGGACTTCTCGGATCGGCCCCGGGAGAGGAGGAGGAGGAGGAGGAGGAGGAGGAAAAGGAGGAGGCGGCAAGGAGGAGGAGGCAAGGAGGAGGAGGCAAGGAGGAGGAGGAGGAGGAGGAGGAGAGAGGAGGAGGAGGAGGGGGAGGAGGCGGCCGGGGGGTCTGCACCGGTTGGGGCCCCAGAAAACACGGGAGCGGAGGTGGAGCCAAACCCGCTCAAGACCGGTCCCAGGACCCCTCCTGGGGTCCGTCTGGAGTAGCTTTCGCCCGAAAAGCCGGAAAATCCCAAAAACCTTCCCTTCCCCCCCCCCTCCCCCTCCCTGCTCCCCCCCCCCCCCCTCCCCCCTCCCTGCTGACCGGAAGCAATGCTGGCACACCTCAGACTCCCAGACGGCTCCCACCTGGGACCCCCTGGCGGCGCCCCGAAGGAACTCCGCGCGGACCTCCGAGGAGATGTTTGTGCAAGTGTTCGTTTCCCTCTAGAGGAAAAAGAAGAAGAGAAACAAAAAAAAAAAAAAAAACGATCGATGATCGTGAGCCCATGCTTCTGGCGGCGCGCTGCCCCTCGACAGCCCACCCTCGCCCGCGCCGTGGCCGCAGAAGCGCTCCCGCCTGAGGCTCCGAACTCGGCCGCCGCCCGCACGGCGTCGGGGATGGCGGTCCTCCCCTCCTCCTCCTCCTCCTCCTCCTCCTCCTCCTCCTCCTCCTCCTCCTCCTCCTCCTCCTCCTCCTCCTCCTCCTCCTCCTCCTCCTCCTCCTCCTCCTCCTCCTCCTCCTCCTCCTTCTCCTCCTTCCCTCCTCCCCTCGCCCCGCCCGGGAGCCCTGATGTTCGTGCCTGAAAGCCCAGGGCCCTGCGGGCACAAACTGCCCCACCTGCTGGCCTCGCCGCGAGGTCGGCGGCAGGCCGCCGCAGCTCCCGGCAGGCCGGGCTGCCCGGCCGAACAGGGGGGAATCGAAGTCGGAGTCGGGAGCGACCTCTGGGGGCACCATGTTCGTGCGATCTCGTGAGACGCCTGGGCAACTCCTGGCCAACGTGCCAGTGTGCAGCTTCAGGTTTAAACCAAGTTTCGCCCCGAGGATCGAATCAGGAACTTCTGGGGGCCGCTGTGCAAGCAGGAGCGCTGCGCAGGCGGTCTGGTGGCACCCTCACGTGCCGACTAAGCAGACAGGCCCCCCGCACTAGCAACACCACAGGAGATGGCCAGCCAACCCAATAGGCGGCGGGGGCACAGAGGCCACTCCAACCATCTATGGGCACGGAGGGCCACCTACCTTCTCTCCCAACCAGCCTCCTCCAAAAAGTTGACCCAAAAATTATGTCGGTTTTTGAATGCGGGGGAGTCTGGTTCTCCGGGGAAGGATCGACGACGACGATGACCTGATTCTGGCCGCTCGCCCCCCGTCCCCCGCCGCCAAGCGGCTGCAAAATTAAGACGGCGGCACAGACACCTGGATGGCGCAAACCTTCGTCGAGGCTCACGGCGCCGCGTTCAACAAGCTGCTGTAACCGATGTGAGAACTGTCCAACCTGCACTCTCTGAATCATTCTCAGAACTGTCCAACCTCCAATGAATACACTGTTTCTTGCTCTTGCCCTTGGACGAACGGACCCTCGAACGCATCTAGGAGCTGCTGCGCCGCCCGATCGAGAGGGCCCCTCAGAGCGGGCCCGCGCTTCCTGGCGCCGCTTTTCTGGGGCAGCGCCGTCAGCACAGCAACCTGGGCGCCGCTGTATTCCGCGCCCGCGGCAATGGTCACCTTCGCGAGGCCCGACTTGCCATCCTTCGCTTTCGCGGGCTTGCACTTGCAGTGCATCGTTTTGCTGAGGAGGTCGAGTGGCGTCTTGCTGGGAGCCGCCACTTCGATGCCCCAGAACTCTGAGAGCTCTGAGAGCTCCTTCTCATCATTCTTCTTCGCCTCCTCCTCCTCGATCGGCACCTGGGCAAACGCGAGCGCGCGGCCTGCAAAGACGCGCACGCATGGCGGCCCATGGCACTCTTGAGCGGCGGGGTCGGTTTTTGCCCCCCCTGGCAGCCTAGTGGCCGCTCCACGGCGACGGGGCTTTTGACGTCGATCAGCAGAGCGCTCCAGAATCAGAATCACAATCACAATCATAGTCAGAATCAGAAGGCGGGACGCCACCGCAAGAGGCGCACGCGAGAGGGCAGAGCGTTCCAGAGCAAGCCTGTGATCTCCCCGATCCCAGCCGCGCTCGTGAGCGACAACCCTGCAAGTGCGACGGGTAGCTTCTGAACAGTGATCACGTCCTCGCCCGGGTTGAACAACTGCTGGATCTGCATCTCGCGAGCTGCCCCCCCCCCCGCCGCCGCCTGGCGCGCCGCGCTTCGGCCCCCAGGAGGGGCGACATAGCGAAACCGCGCAGGATGGGCGGCACGAAGATCAGCCAAGATAGCGAGGGGGGTCGCACGACTCTGGAGATGCCCCCCCACAAGCGTTCAAAGGCTTGGGCCCGATAACCGCACGGAGGACGTTCGACGCGATCTGGACGCCAACGACCTCCGAAAAACCTCGAGCGCTCAATGCACTTCCCGCCTCTCGCAACGCCCGAGAATAAATGGCGGCGGGCCGCCTTCGCGCAACTGAAGGGAGCCAGGCAGAAGGGACGCACATTTGTCGTCGCGATCCTCGCTCGCACGTCTCGTTGCCCGCGTTTTGCCATTCTATATTGCGCTGCTGCTTTGCACGCGCCGATGCTCCAATACTTGCGCCGTGCTCGAAGAGCGACGTTGCACGCCCGATTCCGCCTCTCTAAGTTTATGGTCTCCTCTCGCGACTGAATGCTCTAAGTATACGTACTGTTACTTGGAGCAAATATGAGCTTCACGAAAGTACAGCGCTGCGTTTTCTACGCGGCGCCTGAGGGGCATGCGCCCCACGCGCCATGGCGCGTTCAGTCAAGACCAGAAAGATCCGAGCGAGCAAAATACCTCCGCCACCACCTTCGCGCGGCGCGCATGCTCGATGGCTACAGCGAGGGCCGACGCGCCCACCCGGACACCCGGCGCGCGTGACATGCGGGGCGGGAAGAGCGACCCACTGCACCCGGAGACCCCGAGCATAGGCCCCCGAACCAGCCCCAGACAGCACGGGCAAAAGCCACTGCTCACTCACGTTTCGTTTGCAACCCATCTCGGCGAGGGCCAGATCCACCGGAAAAGTCGCACGCTCACTCATTTACTGACTACCTACCAGACCACCCCAACCCAACCCGAAGACCCGAATTTCGGGTTGGGGGGGGTATGGGCTCCATACGTGTTTTTTCGATGTTCCCGGACCCCCCCCCACTAGAAATCGAGGGTAAATCTGACCCTTCGGGTTGGGTTGGGGTGGTTTGGTGGGTGGTGATTTACGCGAGCCCCTGCAAGCCCCGGCTTGGCCCCGCGAGAACGGACTCACAGACGTCGCCCACGCGCAGACGGAGCGACGCATCAACAGCTCGATCCTGGAAAGGACCCTGAGTGGCCAAGTCCACCGCCTCCAAGCCCCCTGCCTCCAAACGCGCGCCCCAGCCCTGAATGGCCGTCTGGAATGCTTGCACAAACTGACGCGCGACACACGGATGCCCGATCATGCCTCAACAGCCTGGCATCATAAGGAAACGGGGCCCATCCTCGCAGGGCAACGCGACCGCTGCCTCCTGCAAGCGCCGGCGGCCAAGACGGACGAGGCCGACTTCCATCAGCTCCACCGCAGAAGCCCGCCACTGCAGCAGCCCGCACACCAGCCCACTTCTGCCTCGCAAGTGCATTCGCGAGTCGAGGAGGCGATCCAATCCGAGGCGACCCGCTCGACGAATGCGCCACATCATGAATCGGAAACTCACGAGTGCATGATCCCTGAGGCGGCGGGATATATATATATATATATATATATATATATATATATATATTACAAAAAAATGCGGGGCAGCATTTCGGGGGTCGAAGAGCGGGTCGAGCCCGGCCCATACCATGCAGGAAGAGGAGGTGGACAACCCTGATCCCCACAGCCGCGCCCCCAAAAAGAGGCCCCGTTAACTGTCTTAGCCCAGGAAACCCCTATACTCGAGTGCCAAAAAACTGGGGCTCGCAAACTCATTCCAATTCTGAGACAGGCGTCTTATAGATACCATCTGAAAGTGGCGCGTCTAATTATGGCCCCTGTACTCTGAGGCCCCCACTTCTGTAAGTGGCAGCCGTGGGAGGGGCCAGGAGGATAGCTAAAAGCTCAACCAGCGCAGCCCAGCCTGGGACCGCTTTCCTTTTGAGGGCTCTTAAAGGCTAACGTTCACGTGCACACGCACATGGATTGGCCTTGTTTCGGAGCTTCTCATCTCAAGTGCTGATGGAGTCGGGGGCCAGATCTGCATTAGCTCAAGCAAGTGCAATAAATAATCCTGGACGCGATCAGGGTCGCCTGCATGCCTCCCTCGCTGCTGGGGCGCGACAACTGATCCAGCCACTCCTGATCAGTGGATGGGGGGGGCACTGGCGCGGCCTGGTGGGGGCGTCGTTTTGTGCCGAGCTCGCTTTTCGCTGCCATGTGCGACAGTCGATGCACATCATGCACCTCACACTTGCCCCACTCTTCCCACACCTCATTGATCGCCCCCTCCTGGAAGAATTTCAAATGCAAGATGCGCTCACGCTCCATGCGTCGAGGCAAGGCGCTCAATTCCTCCGAATTACCCTGTGACGTACCCAACCCATTGTATACATGGAAACGAGGAGTTGGCCGAAACTTGTATGGACAATCAACTTGATGTGTAAGCTACTTGGGAGGCGTCACTGTGATGGGCCCCGCAAGCAGGCCTCGAAAGTGGCGACAGTTTCACAGATCGCAGCCCCCCAGGGATGGCGTGCTGGGCCCCCCAGCAGGCCGCGAAAGTGGCGACAGTTTCACAGATCGCAGCCCCCCAGGGATGGCGAGGTCACATTTGAGTCCGCGGTGAGTACCCACTGTTCTGGGCCCCCCAGCAGGCCTCGAAAGTGGCGACAGCTTCACAGATCGCAGCCCCCCAGGGATGGCGAGGTCCAATTTCAATCCGCCGTGGGTACCCACTCTGCTGTGCCCCCCAGCAGGCCTCGAAAGTGGCGACAGTTTCACAGATCGCAGCCCCCCAGGGATGGCGAGGCCTCATTTGAATCCGCGGTGTGTACCCGCTGTGCTGAGCCCCATCAGCAGGCCGCGAAAGTGGCGACAGTTTCACAGATCGCAGCCCCCCAGGGATGGCGAGGTCTAATTTGAATCCGCCGTGTGTACCCACTGTGCTGGGCCCCCCAGCAGGCCTCGAAAGTGGCGACAGTTTCACAGATCGCAGCCCCCCAGGGATGGCGAGGTCTAATTGAAGTCCGCGGTGTGTACCCACTGTGCTGGGCCCCCCAGCAGGCCTCGAAAGTGGCGACAGTTTCACAAATCGCAGCCCCCCAGGGATGGCGAGGTCTAATTTCAGTCCGCGGTGTGTACCCACTGTGCTGGGCCCCCCAGCAGGCCTCGAAAGTGGCGACAGTTTCACAGATCGCAGCCCCCCTGGGATGACGAGGTCTAATTTCAGTCCGCCGTGTGTACCCACTGTGCTGGGCCCCCCAGCAGGCCTCAAAAGTGGCGACAGTTTCACAGATCGCAGCCCCCCAGGGATGGCGAGGCCTCATTTGAATCCGCG